AAGGGCCAGGCTAGCTCTCCGAGCCCGTGTGGCACACAGAGTTCTGATCGGCACAAAATCTCTTCAGAGGCGGCGCGCCGGAGTCCTCCTCCTCTTCAGCGACCTGCAGGAGCCAGAGGGAGAGGTCACCACGGGCTGGGGCAGGAGCTCCGCCTGCCCGCCAGGCCAGGAGAGCTGCGGGGACATCCTGGGCTCTCATCTCCGAGGAAGCCCCAAGGCACCAGGAGTGAGAATCCTCTTCAGCCCCAGAGCCCACTAGAATCCTTGTTTCACTCCACCTCCACACCCTTTCCTCACGCTTTAACACCTGAGCTGACCCAGGGAACAAGCTCGGGCAGGCAGGAGGTTTGGGGAGCTCATGGAGGGCACTTTGGGACTGCAGAGCGAGTCCTTCTGTTGAGATGTTTCTGCCACGACAGGCAGCAACGAAGGCAAAAAGGCCAGGATGGGTCTGCACACACTGAGACACGGTTTCAACCCACCCTCCCCTTACCTGAGTCTCCAGGGGGACTGGCTCTTCCTTTGTCAGAGTGGGAGGCTCGTCTGCAACTTCCGAGGAAGGCAGGGAGGGCTCTGGGGGGAACAGAAGGGTTAACAGAGCTGCTGACCCAGGAGCACGGCCGTCCTCGGGGCAGTGCTGAGCCAGGCGAGATCTCCAGCAGAAGACTCAAAGTCTCCACTGTCTCATCCCCTCCCAGCAGCACCTCAGTCCCCCACTGGACGAGCACTGGCTCCAGCAGAGCCTTCTCCAGGCCCCCAGCTGTCCCCTTCCCAGCCCCACACCCACCTTCCAAGGTCTCCTGCCCCAGTGTGGGCGGCTGCGAGTCGTCCGTGCGGAAGTCAGACGTGTGGGCAGGACTCATGGACTCGCTCTGCTGGGGGCTGGGGCTGGAGTTGGGGCTGCTGTCCACCTTGAGCTGGTAGACATCCGACAGGGAGCTCTGGTTGCTGTTCTCATCTGCAGAAACAGCACCTAGTGAAGAAGAGCACCTTGACCCAGGGGCACAGGCGGCAGCACCGAGAGCCAGGGTCTTAGGGAGAAGTGAGGTCAGAAAGCAATTGGGGTGCAGAGGAGTCACTGTCCCCCATCAACAGGGCATGGCTGGCATCAGATACACAACCAGCCCAGGGACAGAGCTGGGGAAAGAGCCTGAACACGCAGAGAGCAGCCCTGGGCTATTCAGAAGGAGGGAGCAGAGGACAGGGGGGACACAAAGAGCTGCCAGATAGTGTGTCTGCAGCATGGAGGGTGCCAGGTGCTGCAGGGCAGGGCACCTCTCCCCTCCCTCCCAGGGCTTTGTACCTCTTCTGTGCCCAAGGCAGCAAAGCAACAGCAGGAGCCATGCTCAGCTCCTGCCCCCGGGCAGGGAGGCAATGCTGGCACACAGCTTTCCAGGCAAAGCAATCCCAGACTGCAGTCCTGCAACACTGCCCTTCTCACCACATCTACTGCAAGGGCCAACATCCCCCTGATTTCCCTTGGCCACGTGGAAAGGGGAGCAGAAAGCCCAAGGATGGGCCTACGCTCTGCTCCAGCTGCAGCGCCCCAGGATCAAGAGCAAGCCCCCAGGAGATCCTCATCTGTTCACCCCAGGGTCTGTGCAGGTCACTGCTGGAAGCAGGTGGCTCAGCTGCAGGCAGCCACCAGCCTCCCCCCAGCAAGGACTGCAAAGTGGCAATGGGAACCTCCACTCCTCTAGCTCCCCACGAAGCTTCCCACAGGAAAATCCCACAGGTAATCGATTACAGTTCTTGCTGATGACAAGAGGTGAACAGTTTCAGCAGCAAGGGTCCAGGAGTGGATCAACACAAGCCCACACCAAAGACATGCTGCTCTCTAAGCCAGCAACATCCCAGCTTCTGAGAGGCCTTAAGAGTCCATCCCCAGCTTGAAGGGGGCTCAGACACTCACCTTGGAACTCCAGGAGGAGAGAGGAGTTGGCAGAGGTGTCAGCCGGGAAACCATTGGGCTCTCGGGCAGCGCTGCTACTCGATTTGGACTTCTCTTTCTTGAGGAGAGAAAGAGGACCAGAAACACGACGTCAGCAGAGCCCTCTATGGGCACGAGGGGCACAAAGCGCTCCCTTTGCTCTCTGCCGGCAGCCCAGAGGGACGGGCGGTGCAGACCTTCCCTCTTTTGGGGCACTTTTTTGGGCCAAGAGGTAAAAACTCCCGAATCGGGAAAAGGCCCGGGCCTAGGGCGGCCCTCAGGGGAAGGGCCCGGGCCCGAGTTCGGTACCCACCTC